CCAAAACCCCAAAACCCCAAAACCCCAAAACCCCATTTTATTCCAAAAGATTGTCAAAATAAAATAATTTGAAAATGAACAATAATCAAGACCTGATGGTATTTGATAAATCTTCTAAAAAGGTTAAACACCTTAAGAAGATAATCCAAAAGCTTGATCCCAAGCAAAAAGACTTAGAAAATCAACTTGAAGAAGTTGTTGGGAAATATGTAGATGGAGTTGTGACCAAGATTACCAAAGGAGATGTACAAGTAGAAGAAGAAGGAAAAGTTAGTTGTAAAGGTAAGATTTTGAGGATGGAGAGGGGGTAAATTAAGGTTAGGAGTAGGGTTAGAGACATTTGGAGGGCTTAAATGGGTTTGATGGAGGATTTTAAAAGAAATCTGGTATTTTAGGTTTTGATAGGAGAAGTTTTAGTGGAATTTGGGTACGAAATAATTCGAGATAATCTAGAAATTTTTGTGATGTGGCGGTGATTATAACAAATTTTTCTAACGGCTGGTTTAGAAGTTGCGATAAACTGGGAAGTCAAAACCAAGCGGGCTGCTTTCCAAAAGGCCTTAATAAATCTCCGTAATCAAGGCCAGGATCTAACTCAGAAAGACATTAATTTCAGACTTGATTGTCTAGAGAAGCTTATAAAATGCAAAGAATATAACAATATTGATATTTATCAATTAGGTTTTCCTAAAGAAATTGTAGAAGAGGTACATTCCCTCCTCACTCTATAGTGTAACAATTTTCTCCTACTTGAGCAAGAAGAGGTGCCAGCCGAGATACTAGACCTCACAAAGCAGAGAAAAGTACATCCCCTACTCATCGATCTAGAACCCTGTCAGCACCAAAGCCCATTCAGACAACGATCAGCTAAAGATTGCTGATGAACTAGTCAAAAAGATGAAACAAGAAAAGTTAGCCAAGAAGAAGAAAGAGAAAGAAAAGAGATGTAAGGTTGCTCCTAACCCTTAGCCATGCTCAAAGAGAAGCTCAAAAAGCAAGAAGAGGAGTACACACGCCGCCAGAAGGAAGCTGAGGAGCGTGCAAAGACCGAACGTCATGAGAAAATGATGAAAATGAAAGAGAAAGAAGAAAGCCGTAGGAGACAAATCCTTGAAAACCAGAACATTTATATCCAAAACCTTAAGAAAATCCCTAAGCCTCTTTATAAGAAAATTGAGAAACAGTTTGAGGAAGAGTACGTCATGCCTGAGCTAGAGAAGCGCAAAAAGGAGCTTGCAGAGAAACGTAGCTTTATGAAGCCCATTAATGCTGAAGAGATAGCTCAACATAAACGAAAATACGAAGAGCAGCGAAGAATTGAAGAAACTAAAAGAGAAAATAAGTTCAAAGTTGACTCTGAATATGACCCGAAGAAGTACCACTCTGTGTTCCTTGATAACGTGCTAGACTCAGATGCCAAGCTTAAGGAGGAATTGCGTAAGAAGAGCTTTGAGGTATCTGAACTTACGTCCAAGAAAAAGAACTACTCCAAACTAATCATGGAGACCCATAAACCTCAAATTTCAAAGAGGAAGAAGATGGAAATGGAGCTGATCAAGCAGAACTTGAAGCAGCCAACTGCTTTTGAGCGGATCAAGAAGAGAATGGTCTCTTCCTCACAGAATAGAGGCAGTGATGGCTTCTCGAAGCTGAATCACTCAACAGTGAATCATTCAGCAGGAAGGCGTAGTCCAAGGAGACACAAGAAGAATGATGTTGACTGGAGATCAATGAATAGAATCGTTGGAGTAAGTCGGATATATTAATCCTTAGATCCCAAAGCCAGAAAAATAACTTTGTGAAAATTAATTATCTAAAAAGAAGTTCTAGAAAGGAGCCTGAAGAGCATCATTCTGAATATAAGCAGAATGATTGGGATAGTGAGATTAAGAAGTATGATGGAGAGGACCGCATCAGCTACATGAAAGAGAAGGCTAGAGCCATTGAAGAGGTTGCCCTGAGAAAGGAGCAACATTTAAAGCATGGTCAGCACCAGTCAACAGAAGACAGGAATGAGGTAAATGACATGATAATTGACTCTATTAAGGCAAAGATAGCCTTGCTTGATAATATTGATTAGATTTCAGCTATTCTTCCTCTAAAAGGGGTTTTGGGGTTTTGGGGTTTTGGGGTTTTGGGG